TGCGCGCCCGGCCCGCGCCCACCTGCCTTAAAGGCGCCGCGCACGCCCGGCAGCGCAACGGCCTGGGAGAACAGAGCCGAAAGCGCGCGTTTCTGTCCCAAAACGGTGAGTGTGTACAACGAGGCGTCTGCTCTCCCTCCTCTTCCCCTCCCTGCAGTTTTGTCCGTGGCCTCGCATTCTTTATTAATCTGAAGAAGAACGCGCAGGTAACCTCGACACCCTGCAAGGCTCCGAGCCGGCTACGTTCTCAGAGGCTTCTCCGTTCGAGGGGACCTTCCTCGGTACCGCAACCCAAACGGAGCTGTTCACAGACCTCACACTAACATAGGGGAGAAATACACACGTGGAGCACTTCTGGAGCAATGGCACATCTTCTTTTTTTTTTTTCCCCATAATTATTCATAACATGATGATCAATTTCACACATTAGCTGGATCACAGAAAGGAAAGATATTTGCATAGCTATTACCAAAATAAAAGCTATTGAAACACTCGTGTTTGTTTTATCTCAGGTTACCAGTCACCTAGCGGACTTTGGAACCAACTTGTGTGTCATTTCAAAGGTCTTTTCCAACCATAAGGATTGTATTATTTGCTTGTGTAGCTAGGAATACCTATAACGTGTGATAAAACCTGTTCAGATTTGCATTTATATTTTCAGTTCTTTTTACTAAAAGTGAACCTAGAGGAATGTAACTCCAGTCCAAATGAACTGGTATTTTACACCTAATAAACAAACATGAAGTTTGCAGCAGGGGTGCAGAGTGTCACTAGATGTTAAAACCTCTGTGCAGCAGGGCACAGAGATGAGAGCACGATGGAGAAGTCGCACACTTCGCCCAGCCGATCGCAGGGGAAGGCTGCACCCCGTTTATCCGCACGGGATATGAGGGACTGTGGCTGCGGCAATAACACGCTGTTAAACAGCCCATCCACGGGCTTCTGAAAAGTTTCAAAGCTCTTTCTTTTGCATTAACTAAAGGGGATAGAATTCATTAGTTCTTTCTCCCATTTCAGAGATCCATCTGCACATACCAGTGTATGTGTAAATACATTTACCTGATAGTTTTGATCTTCTATTTTAACGTGAATTCTGCCACATGCTCTTACACATTAATCCTAACGCATCTTTACCTTACCTCAATCCTCAATAGCCCAGTATTATAACTCATAACTAAGCAAAATACACATCAGTGTAATAGATATTAACTTCAATTCTGAGTATTAGCTACCTGGATCCAAGCTATTAACTGTTGTTAATAAAAAGCTAACATTTTTGTCTGCATCCTTCTAATCCCAGAGCCTCCCTTTCCTTCTATTTCTGGTGTGAATCCGAGCACTGCACCTAAGCACTGGAAGGGGAAAAGCAGGAAAGAAGGAATTTGCTTACGCGCTCCAATGTGTTCCGAGTCAGACACGCTTTTAGCTTTCGACGAGCTCCCTCTGGTGGATATTTCAGATAAAGAACAAGCTTATTCATAAGACGGTTTTAGTACAAATCCTCCTAACAGTTCAAATACAACACGACTGAGATGGGAAGGGGCTATGAAGAAGGGCAGCTAAATTAATCTATGCTCAAAATGGGAAAAAAAAGGTGTAAATTATAGTCCAATATAGTTAATTATAGAGCCGATAATTCACACAGGTGTGTAAGATTACTTTGCCAAGACACCCAACAGATCTTGGTCAGGCTAATTAAAGCTACAGCTGACTAGAAGCAGGATGGTCACTGTGTACTTTTCTCATGCTATTTACCCACCTGAACTTAGACCTGTAAAACAGAGGAATCAGATAAGACTTGATTAAGAAAAAAGAAAAGTAAGTTGACCAGGTACAGCTGGTCAAAACCAAACACAGCAATTCATATGTCAGGTGCTTATCGTGAAATCTAACAAGAAAAAAAAAAGAAAGAAAAAAGAAAATGAAGGAAAGGCCTGCCCAGTTTTTGCAGGACAGCTGAGGGGTATTTATGGAGGCAGGGAGCACCCTGCCAATGCCAAGGGGATGCCTGAGCACCCCTGAGGAGTGGGCAGGACAGCCAGTGTGGAAAAAAGGGGCCCATGCGCTCTGCTTATTTCCAGTAACAAAGGCAAAAAGCCCCTAAAGGGTTTCCTGCTGGCCCACTGGTACTTTCCCAGCTAATGCATTAGGGAAGCACCCACACAACCCTTCCTCTTATGACCTCAAGTTGCACCAGGGGAGGTTTGGGTTAGACATTAAGAAGAATTTCTACATGGAAAGAATGGTGAAGCCTTGAAACTGGCTGCCCAGAGAAGCGGTGGAGGCACCATCCCTGGAGATGTTCAAGAAACACACAGATGAGGCGCTAAGGGACATGCCTTAGCACCCATAGTGTTCAGGGGCTTACAGCTGGACTTGATAATCTCAAAGGTCTTTCCCAATCATTAAGATTCCATGATTCTATGGAGTCTCTACTTGCACAGAATATTTGTCCCCACACAGCCTGTCAGGTAGGCCGGGCTGCAGCCGCACCACAGCAGCGAGCTGCCATTATCCACTGGGGACAGCCCAGAAACAGCTTCGCTCACTACACGTTGTGCAACGTGGGCAGCTCTTATCCACAACAGGAACCCAAGGAGGAGCCACCTGGCTGCTCCTCATCTTCACAGCCCACTGCCAATCTCTGGAAAGAAAATAAGTTAAAATAAAATAATTTTTTTAAAAAAAAAAATCGGGTTTCTTATTTTTTTTTCCCCTCCTCGCAGATTTCTTCCCCACAGAGTAAAATGGCGGCCGCTCCGTTTCAGGGCCCACCCCCGCCTCCGTAGCACGAGGGGCCGGGGGGCGC